ACAAAATTCTATTCCCGGACTCGCCGCTACGATTTAGCGCCATGTTTTTGGTATCGCCTAATAAAACCGTAGCGTTGTGCATCTCCCTACTGATCTCTGCGCTCTTCCGTACTTTATTGCTTCTTATCCGCCCTCTATCGAATGCTCGGCCTAATACGGTGGAAAACACGCATTCAGTAATTCTGAACACTCCACGGATGATGACAGAGATATTACGTAATAATTAATTCATTGATGGTGAAAGGTAAGTTATGACTCAAAATACATATCACATATTTATTTATACATTTACACATTTATTTAATTTATTAATTATTTTATTACTTATAACTTATACCTGTATACGTGGACCGGGTAATATTTTAATAATACTTAAAAAAATTGACTAAGCATTGCGTTCAATCGTCCTTCGTGGATTCGTTGTGATCGAATTTTTAAAGTTTAAATAGGTCCCATTCTGATAGAAGTCTAAATCTGACAAAGAATTAATAGGATTCTTGACGTTAATCAATGTTAAGTTGAATGTAACGAAAACAAAAACGTCGATGCTTTTGTGAATTTTTATCACCAAAATTTTCCCAAATGTTTTCAATATTATTTGAAAGCTTTACTAACAATGAACCAATCACGTACCAAAGTAATAAGATTTAAGTAAAGACGTTCACGGGGTACGTATATTCCATTGGTAAGATTGTAGTTTCTCTGCTAAAAAATTACCGAAAGTCAATCACTCTATGCTCCTTCGGGAGAATTTTGATAATATTTGCGTAACAAGAATTTAATAATCACCCAATATTATTTGGTGATTGTTAGATAAAAAACGGATCTAAGTCAGAAAAAGGTTTTGGCTTAAAATTGTAACAGCGTGGGAAGAAAGGTGGAACAGGTGGAAGATCAACATAATCATTTCCAACGTGGAAAATCAGCTCCATTCCTACAATCATGTGAAAAACTATATGACAATGGAAAAGCCACCAGCCTGAAACACAAGAGGGAACCATTTTAGTTTAATAGTAGATTTAGATTATGTCACCTATGGACTGACACAATTGTTTTGTTTACTGTCAATTGTTACTGTCAATTGTTTACCTGGATTGTCAGCCTTGAAACGTAATATGACGTAACCTCCGCTGGGTAACAAAACTGTATCTTTTCCTGGAGGATTCTTGTATCTCCTATGACGAAGTTTATTTTCGTGATTCGCTAGTATCGACTTTACATTGCCCTCCGTATCGTTACTCGTGAAATTTCCCATATCGAAAACGTAGAAATCATATCCGTGAAGATGAAACGGATGATAGAGTCCAAATCCAGCTGATGATAATATATAATACTATTAATTTCATTGTTAGCCTAATAAATGAATAAAATATTCTAAATTCTTACATATATCGTATAACATAACCTCGACAACTGAATGTCGTTTAACCTGTAATACATGAGTGCATTCACAGGGTGTCGTACAATTACGAGGAAGATTATCTCCATTGCAAGATTCTGAAATACCCTGAGAGAGTGGCGGACTCGGTGGAAATACATTGCTGATATTATTGATGATACTGACAACACCTACTCCACCTCCAGGTACTAGGAAAGCAAAAGAAGTTGTATCATTTCATATGAACTTTATTGAGACAAATAATTTAATCGATACGTACTTATGTAACGGCGATAAGTTCCTGGCTGATAGAGAACATCATTCTGACCTGCATAAGAATGAAAGCCAACTGGCAGTACAAAACGATAATCCGGCTTGACTTGCAATAATGCTGAATCGAGTTTTAGTCTTCCTGCAAATTGATTGACACAAATTGTGTCATTATGTATCCTGTCGCAGCGAAAACTCAAGTCGTTGTACACCTACGGAAATATAATGTAATGATAAATTATGACAGTGATCAGAATTAATTATTGCCGCGAATTAAAGCATTATTTTGTCATTATATACAATTCCTCTAGGTAGTCCAATACTGTTTGTAGGTTCGTTAGTACTGGGCGTATCCGACGCGCCCTCATATTGGATAATAGCGGACTGACTGGGTACTAAATTTAGACACGGACCTACTGCTCTTGTCTGAATCCAATAAGAATCAATTGTCTGATTCGCATGCAAGATAAAGTCTGCACGTTCGCCTACAAAATTTGTGCAAATATACATGATTTAATATGAACATGCAAAATACTACTTTTCAAAACTTTTTTTATTAATTTACTCACCGGAGCCTAATGTTATTGTATTTACATATTTTTCTACAACCGGATCTCCGTCTTGAGCAATTAACAGTAACGAGTGATTTTGGACAGTAAGTTCAACTATACAGGACGTGCTGTAAGCGGAGATTGTTCTAAATCGATATTTCTTTCCTTGTTTCACGTGATAAATTTCTCGTTGGCTCGTAGTCGTTTGATTAGTATTTGGATCCTGTATGAATATAATTATTAGAGGAGTGAGTATCAGTAAGATTGTTTAATATCATTAAATTTTCTTTCTCTTACCGTCCAACGACCTTTTCCATTGATAAGAAGACTGTCAGGTATCTGACCAGGTGATCGAGTGGTACGTCCAGGAAATCGTTCCTCTGACATTTCATGTAAAAAATCACTCAGGAGTAGCACGTGAGTCGGAAGATCCTCGTCGTACAGATGAGAATGAGGATCTACACTGGCTGGCTGTCTTACGATGAAGCTACCGTATTGACCATCTAGTTTTTGCAAAGCCGAATGGGAATGATAAAAAAGCGTTCCGTAATTTATGGCAGTAAATTGATATCTGTAAATACAGCAACGTTAATACGGATAATTTTTAATTAGGTTACTGTAATTAAATAATGTGTACCTAAATGTATTTCCTGAATGAATAGGACACTGCGTTACAAATGGTACGCCGTCATAGTACTGAGTACCTTTTTGAAAAGTACCATGCCAATGTATTGTTACCTCCAATCCAGGTATATTATTTTGCACGTCCACTACTACTCTGTCGTATTGGCAAATCTTTAAAAGAAAATTTCAAATTTTGACATTATTTAATTTATTCATTATTTCATTATTACTTATCACTTACCTGAATACTTGGACCAGGTAACATTCTATTAATACTCAATACAGTACGTTCGTAACCATCTGCTTCTATGCACTGACACTGCGGTGGGTGAACCAGTGGATTTGTATTGTTTGGTTTACACGTATCACAGGCTCTGTGAACAGTCATAAATTTAATACAAATTTTTGAGATTGATCGACACCTGCAGGGAATTCACGATTGCACGTAGACAAGAGCATTATGATGGTTTATAATTTGTTGAGTTGTTTTTAATACTGCCCTGTTTTCTTAAAATATATTTAATTCTCGATTAATATACCTGTTCATTGTCGGGTAGAATTCAAGGGTGAAGTGATAGTAACAAGTAAGCGGCGCTGCGTTCGCGATGCATTTCCTGTTACATTCTTGGGGCGTTGAAAATACGATATACGTATCATTGGATTTGCCGTATGAAATATCGTGATTCTGAAGATCTGTATATGGAAAGAATATGGAAATAAATCTTTTCATAAAGACAATAGAAGATAGACAAATTTTGAGTTTTAAGAATGTCCAATTCCTTGAGTTGTGCACAATTAAGTGAATTTTTTATATTTTCAAAACTAAATTCTTACCTTCAAAAGCCCGTTGGCTCACCCTTTTACCGGAAACACGCACAAGAGTTGAAATAACTAGTAATGCAACAGGAAGTTTCATGGTGATTAAATGATAAGTGAAACGCATCATATAATTTGTGTAAAATTTTCTCCGTTCCTGTTTACTTCACTCGCTATAAGTTTATTAATATGTTTCACTTATGTTTCTTTCTTTTTATACTTTTTTTCGTATATTTATATGTATATATATATGTTTACAAAGAACATAGAGGCCCTCACAGCTTACATTCGCTTTCGTCAGGCAAAGCCCGGGTTGGGGACATCCGAGCATTGCAACTGGTCACGGATAAGAAAGAGGAGGGAGTTTTGAGAGTTTAATAATAAAAACTAGAGTTTCCAAAATATGTATATTATTTTTCAAAATATACACTTTATACGGCTTAAAAAAGGTAAGCCATTCCCTGGGAGTGTAAATATTTTTTTCAAAATATTTTTATATCCTTCAAATCTGACTTAAAAATCAGCATTGGTTTGATGGAAGTTTGGTATTAAAGATACTTTTAATCTTTATAGACAATCTGTATCAACTGCAACCGATAAGGATATCTGATAAGGATGTTTGTTTTCGTGGCAATGAATAGTAATATAGTATGATGAAATATAATTGGAAAGAAATATGTTCACTGGAAAATTTCTCTTGGCTTGAAAGAGAAATTCACCTGTATAATACGTTCAATCAAAATTTCAAATATTTATCGATTCTCTTGATTTTATTAAATTGGCAGACGTTTTGACATTGAGGAAGGACGTAATTAATACTTGTCTTGTTAATAAAATAAGGTCAGCGACTAAATGAATTAATAAAATCTTCCTTGACACATTGCTAAACACGTTCAAAGAGTTTCTACATTGTGATATCGGAATTTACTTAATAACCAAAGATATTGCTTATAACATGTGCAAATAAACTGTTATCAAACATTTGCGTAATGCATTTTTCGATGAACGTTTTTATTTAATTAAAGAAAACATTATTAGGCTACACACAACTGCCATTATTGTCTCTTTGCAAAAACATTAAATAATTTCAAACTTGACTTCCTTTCCGTAAAACAAATGCTTTCTAAAAGTGTAAGCCTGTGATGCTATTATTAAAAATAACACAAGTATAATCGAGGAATAAATATATTTTTTCATTCTGATTTTCTTACACGACGTTTACAATATATGAAGATAAGCTACATCACGAAAAGCCTATTGTTTTTATAAAGTAAGTTTACACGAATCGTCGATGCAATAGAAATAGAAATGTTAACAGTGTGCTTATTTTCGTATTAGTTTCCACAAAGGAACGATGCCCAAGCCAGCCCAGGATGAACGTCATCGACAATTCTCTAATTCCATTAATTTAAAACGGTTCAGGTAGATAATTGCCACATCTAGGAAAATTGTTGGGCACCGGTGGTAAATCGTATTGATCTCCAACATGAAAAATTAATTCCATTCCGACCATCGTATGGATGACAAAGTGACAGTGAAACAGCCACCACCCTAAGGATTAATTATAATAATAAATAAATGTGAAATACAGCATAAAAATATGATAATTCTTTACCTGGATTATCAGTCAAGAAACGAAAAATGACGTAACCCCCTTGCGGTATTATTATCGTATCTTTACCAGGGGGTGCAGTATATCCACCGTTCCATAGAGTGTTGTAATGTTCCCTAAGAACAGCGTGGACGTCACTCCTGGTGAAATTAGTGCCTTCGGGTTTTCTACCCATTTTGAAAACACGGAACGAGTAACCGTGCAAATGGAACGGATGAACCAGCGCAAGAGAACCTAGGGAAATAAAAAATAAAGCGAAATTAATTTGCCAATTCAAAATATTTTTCAATCAATAAATCATTGCAATGCTTACGAGCGTCATATACCATGACCTCGACCACTGCTCCTAACTTAACGTCCAAAACGTGCGTGCATCTGCACGGGGTTGTGCAATTAGGAGGCATACGAAATGCATTACACGTATCCTGCGGATTCGCACCCTGGGAGAGCGGTGGATACGGCAAAGTTTGATGTGAAATATTATTGACCAAAGCGAGCAACTTTGTTTGGTCATTGGCGACTGTAAAAAAAAATGTAAAAAAAAAAATATAAAATTTTGAACTTCCGTTTCTTCGATATTTACTGCATGAAACGAAGAGTACACTCACCCATGAAATTACCATAGGTATCCGGCTTAAATAAGACGTCCAGTTCATTTGAATAATCATGAAACCAAAATGGCAATACAAAACGATAATCTGGATCTGGAACAAGGAAAGCAGGATCCACTTCAGTCGCTGACTGTACTTCATTTGGACATAGAGTATTCGATTTGGTCCCATCGCACACGAATTTCATGTTATTGTATTCCTGTGAAAGAATTCTTATATGAAGACCTTTATGGAAAAGTCTAATTAAATAAATTATCATTACCACTCCCATGGATACGGCATCATTATACGATGGTCGAGGAGATGTTGGAGTTTTTGGACCACCGTTGTACCTCAATATAGCTAATTGCAGTACTTCGTTATCAGCGCATTCACCAAGTCCTTTTAATTTAATCCAATAAGTTCCCACAGTCTGATTGGCGGTTAGTACAAAATCAAAACGTTCGCCTGGAATGAATTTTCATCAGAATTATTATAATCATACCAAGAGACAATATCGATAGTACAGCCAAGACTGACCGGATGCTGATGTAAATACATTTACTGTTCTGGGACTCACAGATTCCCCATCCTGGGCGATGAATAGCATCGGATGTTTTTCAATGCTAAATTGCGATATGCAAACAGTACAGAAAGAATTGATAACACGAAATCTGTATCTCTTTCCACGTTGAACGTCAAAGACTGCATACGGAGTACTTGTGATATTTTTAGCATTTCGATCCTACGGATTAATTAAATTGATAATAATTATTATCTGTGACAAATAATAACATGTATTAAATTAATCCACAATTTTTACTCACAAACCACTTTCCTTTTCCATTAATTAAAAAGTTATCAGCTGACTGACCAATGTCTCTGGTCATCAGCCCAGGATAACGTTCGAGTGACAATTCATGCATGTAGTCACTGATAACAATTACATGTGTAGGAAGATCTTCATCGTACAAATGATAATGAGGATCGTTACTTGGTGTATCCCTTACGACTAAACTTCCATATTGGCCATCGATTTTCTGCGTTGCAATGTGAGAATGATAAAAATGCGTTCCTGAATTTTTCGCCACAAATCGATATCTGTGAAAACGAAAAATTTTGTTATTCATCATTATTTTATTTTTTTATATTTTCGTATCTAATATTTTTTTTTAATTTTCGTACCTAAAAGTCGTCCTATGTGTTATTGGACACTGCGTGACGTATGGTACACCGTCATAGTACTGATAACCATTTTGAAAAAGACCATGCCAATGCAACGATACTTCGGTTCCATCCATTTTGTTATTTACGTCAATCACCACGTTATCGTACAGGCACACCTGTCAAATAGACGCATCTCTAAGAAATACCAGATATTATCAGTACATAATTATTTTACCTGTATACTTGGACCTGGCAACATTCTATTTATGGATAAAATGGTACGTTCGTATCCGTCAGCCTGCACGCATTGACACAGCGGCGGACTGACTAATTGATTCGTTGCGTTTGGTTGACACAATTGGCAGGCGCTGTCGAAAAGCATAATACGATCCATAAGAGTAATATATTCGGCTTTCGATATTGGACCGGCTGCTTGTAAAAGTCGAAAGAAATTTATTGTCCGTTCATTATTTTCAAATGGTACCTGTTCATTGTTGTATAATATTCTATGGTGAATTGATAATAACAATTACGTGGGCTTTCGTCGTCCTGGCAGGACCTAGCACATTCTTGCGGCGTCGACCACGTCCGTCCATATCGATCTATGGTGCCGTATGATATTTTATAAGGTCCTAATATCGTCATAGATTATATTGAAGAGTGTTATTATTTTTATTTTTCTACATAATTTTTTACTAGGTCATATTTTCTTTTTTTGACAATTAAGAAACTTCTGACTATCTATATTTATTTTTGTACCTTCTGATCTCCAACCGGCACATTCCGTGAGGCAAAGCATACCGAGCGTAAGTAAAGGCGCTACGAGGAGGCGCATTTTCACTGAGCGACTTTCAAAGTGCATTTTACATATTAGGTTCCGACGTTTCCGGGTCTTTCGATTTATACTTATGCTAGGAAACTTGCTTATCTAATATTCGCGCCTGTTGATTGCCAGGCGTATCGTTTAGCTATTTACGACCCTCGCAGCCTTAAAAGTTATATTATTTAAGTTAGGAGTTTAAAAAATTTTTTTCATCCCGGCTTTTTTTACATTCTTCATTTAAACAACGAACAAGGGAATTATTATTATTGTTTTTGGATACACGCAAATTATTATCTACGTGCATGGACTGTTATCTTATGTACTTTATTGAAATTACGTAATGATCATACAGATGGACTGATAAGGTTAATATTTATTTACGAAAAAAAAAAGATTATTATCTTATCTATCATTTAATTAGAATATATTATTGCATGTAATTTTAGCATCGTCTAAACTTGACAAAGTTATTTGATAGCTTTCAAATTGCACAATATTAGAATATGGTGTTCTTTATCTCTAATTAAAAGTATTTACACATTAACGTACTTGTGTTGGTTAATGGGTGCTCTTATTTTTTTTTTGTAGATGTATCGATACCAGTTTTTAATTTATCAAAGATAAGATCGTCCTTACGTTGTTGAAATTTTTTTACATAATTACCTATTTTTTTTCTTATTAAATTGAATAATACAAGTTCAGTTTCATGAACTACAAGTAATAGAATGAATTTCCACAGAGATTTCCAATTTAATTAATACTTCATGAATAATCGCCATCTTTGTTGAGATTGACCACAGATACGATTATGGTGTAAAAAATATAGGCGATATATTTTCTATAATTGGAAAAAAAAATTCTAAGATACAAATAATGTTTCCTTAAGATGCATATTGTTTTTAACCGGCACGATAGCGTATCTGTTTGTATATTTTAAACAGCTATGATAATAAATAACGTAATCGAGAAGCTCAACAATGTATATTTATCGTTTTAAAAACTAAAAAGTAGAGAGCGGCGGCCATTTTTATTTAATCGTAACAAATTTTTCCTCGAGGATCAAATTTCATCCCAATTACTTAATATAATTAATCGAATAACTCCAGACCAGCAGATCAGTATTACACGAGGATATAAGAATAATGAAAGAACAGTGATGGAATAACAAAAATAATCCAAGAGAAATTTCTTATCTTTTTTCCTTACGATTTGGCATATGTAATAAACTGGAGCTTGATTTATGTTATTCGTATAAATTCTTATCGGTGTCTCTTATCGTTTTCACTTTTCCGTGAATTCCCATATTCCTCAATAATTATTGGTGCCAGACTCGTTTGCATTGATTGAAAAAAAATTGTCTGCATTGTCCCGTCGAAACACGTATCACAAGGAGTGTACGCGAATAGACTATTGGCACGTTACTTGTTACGATTCAGAGAATCGTTTCTCAACAATTGTATTTTGATTCGTGGTTTCCATGAAATTTGATGGATTTCGTTATAAATGAAATCTACGTCAAAGAATATATTTAGTCAGAAGCGTTTTTCTTCATTCCAGGTGCTCGATTTTATTTCCATAAGAAGCAACGAGCAGTCAGGTAGGAGCGACGTGTAAAATGTCCAGATTACTAAGTAAGTCAAAGTAAGGGACGTCGCTTTATATATATTTGGGGAATGATAGAAAGTAGGGAAGAAGGAGCCTAATTTGGGACTGAGGGGGATCCAGGGTGAAAAGATAGGCCGAGGTTATTTAATGGAGAGTTGTGTTTAGGAATGTTTGAAAGAGCAAAAAAAATTAAGTGTCAATTAAAATGTTAACAGGATATTTTTTGTATAAATTAGAATTAACGTTAAGGACTTGGAATAGTGGTGGATGGATTTTTAGAGAAGGTGGGAATTAAGTATGGTTGAGAAACTTAAGGGAACGAGTGACAGGATACGAAACGTCAAATACCTAGTGCCTTGGTGTTTGGTCAGTTAAAAAAAAAGCTAACCTTAAAACGGCCACGTTCATTCCCATAATACGTTTAGCAAAACTCCACGTAGTTCGAGCTTCGAGAATAGTTGAAGCTCTACTAGTTCGATTACTTGAACTACGTAGTAGTCGGTTCTCTCTGATCGTAAAGTTTCAACAGCCCTGTCGGCGGCGGCGCGAACTAAATTGTTAACTCTCGATGCTCACAGTGAATCTTAAAGGAGACACTGGGAACGTTGAACGGATCTATCGATAAATAGGATGGTAATAAAGATGCGAGAATGAATAACCGGACTCTTGTCGGGAGTAGATTGTGAAAGATACGAAAAACGGAAATAAGTTTAGTTTCGCGATAACAACGAACAAGCACTACGAAAATAAGAACAATAAAATACAATCATTATAAAATCGTAATGAGACGTGGCACGCTCTCGTCGGACGGTCATGAAAAATAGTTACAATTAGCAAGGCAGAAAATAGTTTGAATACGCCAGTGATAGTTACGGCGTCCCTGATTCCAGTTAAGCCGGTGATCCTGAAGGGGTAAACCGCGCGTCGCGCTGGCCTGATTAGCCGGGCGATTATAAAAAGAAAAAAAAGGTACGACTTAGCAAGGGCATAAGGCGTCAAGAAGTATTTGACTAAGACGATAAAAATAGTCCAATCAAATGGAGGCACTTGTTCGCCAGTGAGAGAATGGCATTTCTAACGAATTTCGTAAAATTATATGTATAAATTATATACGCCGAAGGAATTATTCAAAGTCAAAATCGAACCTAGGACAGTGACGTATAAAAAGAAAAGATAGAAAAAAGAAAATGTAATGAATTAGTACGATAAAATTTTCTTTACCGGAGGACGATCAAGCCGGAGAAGTCGGGGTTCTAAGAGCTTCTACGTGGTCGGGACGACAGTCGGTAATGTAGAAATTATACGAAAGTTCCAAAGCGCCAACTCAAAGAAAATGAACACTTCTTGCAATACATCAAGATAAAAGACAGCTGCGAAATAGCTCTACGAAAGCTGCGAAAACAGCTCTACGAAAACTACTTACTGTAAGCGGTATCCGGCACTGTGGTTCTTTTACTTCGAGGAACTGAAACGGCATTCAGACCCTGTGAGCGAGAAAATAGTCCTCGAGACAAGAGGCCTAGACGGGTATTAGTTCAGATAAATTCACATAATATGTCAAAAATTCTGGTAGCCAAAGGTGCTCACAAAATCTGAACGGAAACGCATTCAGCAAAGGCATGTCCGTTCCTCCTTTCCCCGATTAAAGTTTAGGATGCGGGCTTCCTACCTTCAATCGCTAACACTTGGCTCAATCCAAGGTAACAGTAGTGTAAACACGAGGTGGGAGGCTCCGAACATGAGTGAAGGAGCTGGAATTTGCACAGCTAATTGAAGGGAGCCTTAAGGGCTTCCCTCTAGAAACTAGTAACTCCTGGATTCGCAGGATTGAGCCACGAGAAAATATAATAATAGAGAATAGGTATTTCTAACGCATGATGCTTGCCAGAGACGAGGTATCTGGTGGCCAGAGTCCGAAGATGGACGCTTCCCCAGTGTTCAGCTAGGTGCAGCCGATCAGGAGTCCTTGGTGCGAGGATCCAGCGAAAAATCAAATTTTACGTTACAATATACACAATCATAAATAATCAGCTGCATTGTATTTCGTTTAATAACAGTGATTAGACTTGCAAGCTCACTATAGTGTCTATTGTCACATGTAAATAGAGCTTTGATACTTGTTATACCAGAGTTTAATAACTGGATGATGGTATGTAATCGCTTTGGATTATTGGAGTCTGTAAGTTTGATCCATGGCAATTATAACAGTAAAAAAATCAATGGATTTGTGAAGGATATGCTTAACCCTCCTGTCACTAAAAATATTAACTTTTGGTTAATTGCTATTGTGAAAATGATATCTCTTCTTTAGGTACTTTCGCAATTTTTTTTATATCACACGGATTTGGGTATTTATACATTTCAAATACTTATTTTAGTCATATATATAAATATATTGTGTGCGCAAGAAGGCGGTGGTATATTAAAACGAAATGCAGTTTGCTATTGTTCCCTGGTGCGTTATATTACACTGTAATAGTATAGATATATTTGATATATATGTACCTTGTGGAGAGAATACAAATCGAGATAAGATTGTGGAAGAAAGTTTTGGAACACTGCCATGTGTTTGCAAGCAAGGAACAGTTTTGTTTGCCCGTCGAAGAAAAAGAATCTCCAAAGAATGGGGGCATGTGTAATTGTTGTGTTAAAAAATTTGTAAAGAAAATTTAAGAATTAACAAATCCAAATAACCTCTATATACGAACAAGCAATGTTATTTATATCTGTAAAATTTTCAATGACACTTTGTCAGTCAACGAAGAATGATTTTGAGATACCAGCCATAGGACATTCTCTGAGAAATATATTGACAGGGACATTGTCACAGAAATGTACATCCCCGTGACAAGGACTGGGATTAACAGATTTCCCAAAAGGATCAGTAGGATGATTTTGACCTGGATCGCTGAATTTGATTTATTGGGACAGTTAAATTGGAACGATATGAAAAGCGGTTATAGTTTGGGAGAAGGATCAAAATGATTAATGTTCAAGATTGTAAAAGGACATAATACCGAGATATCATTTGGATCAAATCGTATCTCGCCGCAATGATATGAACTTTAATAGACAGCATAATATTTGTATAGATATACTGTATGTTTATGAGAAATAATCAAAATTCAATCAGCATTCCCAATCTCGCAAAACAATGTCAAATGACGATTTAGTATAGTTACAATTTCAAAATTAATTATTCATCGATACAAACGTCAACGCATTAACATTGAATTTAATATCAATTAATCTAAAGATTCTCCTTAACTAATGATGAAGCTATACTATGTTTTAATATACAATAGCGGTGTATTGCAATTAACCAAGCAAGTATTATCATATGTATTTTCCAAAACGGTGGACTCGATTAAACAGTATATACCTTACGTAATGAAACACGTAAAGGTGCTTCTCACATTGTTCGACTGGATTTGTACGGAGCTTGGAAACATCATAAAACACCATAATCCCGCTCTTCTGTTCTCATGGATCGTTCCTGCGCCAGACACGAAAAGCTTTCGTAAGGGAGTTATGTTTACGACGGTAACGCAAGCCTGTTTTCGAGCTTATAAAATATAATTGCTTTTTTTTTTTACAGAATCTCTACATCTTCCCTTAACATTTATTCGAGATATGACAAAGATTTACGTCACGGAGCTCAGAGCTATACCCACAAAGCGACGCCTCATGAAATCCTTGGGGAATATTCGCAAAGCCCACTTGCCAATTTCCCCTGCCAGTGGCTCCTTTAAATCCCTCGGAGTAATTGCGTCGACGCCCTAATAAACCAGTGTAATACGTCTTAAGGAGCAACGAAGCGGTTGTAATCAGCATGGGGATTTGGTTAATCGAAATTCATTGAACTGCACGCGAGTACAACGTTATAGTGAAATCTTAGTGGGTAATATTACAAAGATTATACATAGACAATATGGAAGGGAGTGACAGTACAGAGTTTCGATAAATTTGTATTTATAATCGATACAGTTTATCATCGATAATTCAAGGATTTTACTAAGTAATTTCATTTTCGAGTATAGAGATTAATGAGTCGCAGAATCCAGACTGCTCCATGAGTAATAATTATTTCTTCAAGATCCTATGGTCCACCGATCAGAGCGACCAGGGCGCGTTTGTAGTCACCGGAAGTCTCCTTCTGTCATGGGAAAAAAAAGAGGAATGAAATTCATTATAAATGATGAATCGAATTATTACTGATAAAGATCATCGATTATTATTTACCTTTACCGATGACTCCAATGTCTTATCGTAAAGACGTTCGTACTCCCTCTTGATATTTCCCAGATCAATTTCAGCACGGCTGACTATTATGCGGATGAGGGTCATGTCGTCAGTTCCGGCGCCTTCCATAGCTTTTCTTAGTCGTTTAGCAAAAAATGCTGGAGGACTCTGCACGCATTCGACTGTACGAAATAACATGAAAATATTATTATTTCATTCGCCATCAGGTCATCGGGTAATCAGCGAAATGACAAAAGTCGTTATCTCCATGAGGAATGGTTTATCAATGTTGTGTTTTAATGAATTTTGATAATTTAGGGATTCCTTAAAGGGAAATTAATGCTCAGCGGAGATAATGGTTAGGGAAGGGAAGTATAAGATAACGTGGGGTTGCTTGGTTGATATACGGTTAGGTTAAGTGAAGACAGTACAGTTGCCATAATACAATACGAAGGAGGAACGTTGAATCTTTTTCACAACTTACCAATAGCCAACATGGCGTCTTTCAATTCGCCGCTAATTTCATCCCGCAAAGCCTGCTCGATGGTTCTTCCGCTGATTGACTTGTACTCCTCGAAAATCAGTCGCAGCTGTGCAAAACATTCGTGAGCCAGGATCTTGTTGAAGATCTCTTCGTCGGTGCCGAGTTTAGCCTCGCCTGAAACGTCAGAACACATGAATAAGTACGCAGGTGGAATAAGAGAGAAGATGTAGATGGCGACACTGTACAGTCACATAGGAAAAAGAAAACTAAGATTTCCATTTGACTCTTAAATTTTCTATCCCCGATAAATAGGAACTCTACAAAATGGCGTATATCCCGTAGTTCGATGATGCTTTCGAGAAGCTTCTAGAAGATTAATTAATTAACTGAGTCTGCGTTGTTTACGGCGCTGAGAAAGCAGGTAATAGTCTCTTGTGTTTGGTATTAATTAATGATAATGAGCTGCGACTTGTTGATGGAAGTTAATGTTTTCGTAACGATTGTTACAACGATTTACTTTCCAAGTTCTGAACGATGTTTACAAGTTCGTTCGCTTTATGCCACGCGGTATATCGCACGAGTATCAAAATTCAATTTCCCGCAGTTGGTTCCGTAAGTAATTATAATTAAGGATATTATATTCGACCCAGATTCTCACGGTTCGCCAGCAGCAATCTCGACTAGGCTAATCGCGATTATCGATATTGAATCCGGCCGTCGTTGATCGCTAGCCTCGCGTCCTGCTTGCTCTCTTTACGAGTTGTCATTTGCAGTATTAATTGAGCCAAATAGCCAAAGCAAAGTGGATTATCCAGAACGTATCACGTACACGTCTTCTCTGTGACAGATGCCATATTGACGTAACGTGACGCGGAGGATGGCAAATAAAAATTCAAACTCTGCAACTGCCGTTTTAATCTATTATACGGTTATGCAGCCATAACCAATGAAAAGGCGCGCGTAACTTTGAAAACTTCGTAGTAAGACGATAAATCTATCTAATATCGTATTAATTCATAGATTACCATAACCCTACTAATTACACTTGAGAATATTATAGAAATTTAACATACCAGCGTTGTAAAGCATCTCGGCGGATTCGCGTGCTCTTTCTGGATGAACGTCGTTATTGCCGTTTCTGACACCCTGCTTGATACAATTCTAAGATTTAGTTAAAAAAAAAAATAAAAAAAAAATAAAAAGAAAGAAAAACACCACGTGTAAAAAAGAGGGACGCACAAGCAATCACTTTAACTAAGCGTGCATACATTTTTAGGGGAGTGTCTACAAGGTGAGAAAAAAAATAACAATACTGTCTGGCACTATTTTTGAAAATTACCAATTTCCACGATACTTCATTTACTTGCAAATTTGATATATAAAAGTGAAAGTCTAAAGTACCACTTATCTTGTGAGACATTGATTTCTCGGAGGACCGTGTGCTTTGCAATAAAAATAGGGTGTGGTGTTTTTGAAATAAAAAAAAAAAAATACTTCTAGAATGATATCGCGCTTACAGCGACAAGCAGAAGCTTTTAAAGACTCTTAACCCAAGAATAGTCGCTCGATTTTATTATTCGTTTATAAAGTACTCAGATGGGGTATCTCCGATACCCCAATTGTCTGTTCCCGGGTCAAAGAGACCTTTTTGAAGCTGACGACGCTCATCACCAAGATTCATTGCAGTATCACTTATCGTGCCAGATGCTTCGGACCTTAATATCGATATAACGATTTGTGAGAAAATTATTCTAAAAAATTGATACACTTTCACAAAAGTAAATAATTCAGAGCATTAACAAAGTCAATTAAATAATGTGAAGATTACAAAGGACAACTGTGCACATACTGGTAGGAGTCATTTACTCCAGCAGACGGATGCATTTAGAGACAAAGCACAGTGGGTACCTCTACAGGACCTGGACAACAGGAAACCTGGACTGGGTCTAGGGATCCTTTGTTCAAACATCCCGCGTCCGAGACTCCTGTGAAAGTTTTCATTGTGTACTTTTTGTCTCTCTTTCTCTCCTTCGGACACTCCCCATCCGACCGCACGAAGGTCTGAACATCCCAACGTGAAGTCTAGAGAACAGGTTGGCCGAAGTTGCCGCTCCAGCCTTAGGACCCTGTACCAGGTTAAGGGACTTCTTTGTCATTGCCCAGTCACCTTTCATGCCGGAAACAATGGATAACGTGGTAAAAAAAAAAATGCGTGCTACCAAAAAGAAAGGAGGGACCGCGAGGAGGTGGCGGGGTGAACGGAAACGACAACGAGAGAGCTTAAGAGGTTACGGGGTTCGCTCGGCTAATTACCCCAGGAATAATATTGACGTACCCTGTCCAGGAAGGCCGGTCCAACCTCGTAGAAAGTGGAGGGACTGTCATTATCGAGAAGCGGAAAGGATTATTTTTGCCAGGAAAAAAAGACGCGGTGGCCCCGCAAAGGTAAAAGGAGGATAAGAGGGAGAGAGAAAAAGAAAGAATAGAAGAACGGTAACCGAGAATAAAAGTGAGAGTCACAAGCGGAAATCAAGGGAGCCACTCAGGATATTTCAGGACCTCCTTGTTTCCCTAAAGGATGCATACGTCTGTCTCTTTAACGGAAACGTAAAAGCAAACTCCATCAAGAACACAATAGCCCCCGGTCCCATAACCATCAGTATACTTTAAAAGACTTCCAGCGAGAAAAAGCCGCTGGTAAATAGAGAAAGGGCGATGCTCCAGTGGCAGTAAGTTTTCCCAAAGGTGCAGAGACAGAGGTAGGTAGCGAGTAGGGTAAAGAGTGGGAGTTTCGTGTGGAAGAGTGAAAAATCAATCGCAAGCTAAGGGAAGGCAGAGGGGGGCGTGGCTGCTGGCCAAAAAGTAGCCACGAACGACAGTGGCGACGTAGAAGGGAAAAACAGACAGGAATTACGTCAGGGGGGGGATTTAACGGGGGGGTACCGGCCGGGGGCACGTAGAGATTGAGGGCGTTTATTGCGAGTAAGAGACACGGGCAATTGAGCGTTCCGAACGTTCGAGTCACAATTCTTCGGCGACATTAAGCAGCGCCGTAAGTTTAACAGTGTTTCCGACGTAGCCGTGGATTTACTATCGCGTCGCCTACGATCGAGTGGTAGCTTCATAGAAACGCCGGGGGGACCGTAGATTCACTTTTGGACTGTGGGTTAATCTCGCGCGCGTCCTCGCTAGCGAGAAGCCGAGCGCGCATGCGCGCCAGTCCAACGGACATATTCAAATGTGACGCCGCGTCACTCTGGCTGTTTCTACGCCTCGCTCTAATAGAAATCGACCGACCTCCGGCTTTATCGAAGTTTCGATCGCACCGTTGTCGTAGCTCTGCTCGGATTGTGATTGGCTGTCGGTGCCGTCGGTCGACGAGTATGAACGTACGGTTTGAAAAATAGGCTACCTGCTTCGGGGACATATCGGCTGGTGTTCGTCAACGACGATCAATGTTACAATAAGCTAAGTGGACGTGACACAATATCGTGCTGATTCGATAGAAAAAGAAGGAATATTTGGTTTAGAAATTTATGCATCGTTTGAGAAAGCGACACGCTGGTTAGTGAGCAGACTGGCAGATTCTGGATGGATAATAATTTCAGTTTTGAAGTAAAGTGATTTTGGAAACCGTCGGAGCGATTGAAAATAGATCGATTCAAACAAAAAGTATTTTATACCCGAAAATCTTTGCTGATTTACAAGCAGTATGGCGAACAAATGAAAATTTCGTTACATTTCAAAGTTAACTACCTGATATACAATGGAACTGATTGATGATTCAACTGGCTTCGGAAAAACGCTGGTGTAAATTGATTGCTCGGCAAACAAATTATATTTTTCCAGACGTATATACCCAGTGCGATACTTATTTGTAGCGCGGCAACGGTCATCCAATCTCGCGCAAAAGAGCTCCAGTGTTCTCTCTCCTTTTTTTCTGTACAAATATTTGTACGGTGTGCATGGACACGTCGGCGAGCAAGGGTCCACGAGCACTGATTTTCATCCGGGATAAGATGGCGCTATCTTAATGGCGTCCTGTTATTAAGCTGTTCCCTTATTCTCTGTACTTGTAGGGCGATAGCTAGTCTTGATGGTATTGTTACTTCACTTTGGCAAACTTGCTAAGGAGTTCTCCTTACTCCCTGACCCCCCCCCCCCCCTCC